CCAGCACACTATCCTGCTTCTCTGGCTGACCTTTAAGGTTAGGACCTCTGGATATAAGCTCATGAAAGAGAGCAATAAGGCAAATTCAGCTGCTTTGGGGCTCACAAAAATGCAGTTTTCATTTCAAATAGACCCCAAAAATCCCAATGGCCACATACAAGCCATTCCTAGTCTATGAGGTTAATGCAATAGATCTGCCATCATTGGGCCAAGCACTCTGAACTGCTTTTTCTCATGAAAGGTTCCCCTACCCAGGAGAACTATGCGTGTAAGAGTGGCCAGAGGAGGTCGGGGCTGAAGTTCTTGGGTGTGAAGAGCTGCCCCGTGCAAAGCCAGATGTATCACACAGGGATCAACCTAGGACTCCCACATCAACTTACTTTTCTGTTTACAAAATGCCTTTGGATTTTACTGGGGAAGCACAGTCCACTCCCATATAACCCGTCAGGCTAGCCATATCTCCTATTTCCAATGCCATCCATACACACCCAAAACTCACTCTCCATTGTTTATCAACCTCTCAATCATCCCACATCACTCACAGGTCAAAATTAATCAGCAGAGTGGGAGAGACCTTCAGGATCTTCCTGCTAAAGTATCTTTTCCTACCGATTTAGAAAATGCTGCTAACTTTCTTCATACAAACTACAGTCAGAATTCAACAAAATGTAAATTCAAATATGATCTAACATAATGCCCCAAGGTAAGATGCTTTATAAAATAATCAGCCTTTGATATTTTTCATCACTTTCTTCCATCTCCAACAAGCTTATCCTATAATATTTACAAGGCTCTCCCACCAGAGAGAAGGGAACTGCCACGAGATATCATCTAGAAGTACTTAGAATCCAACAGAAAACTAGTTTAAGTTGTTAGTTTAAATCGAAGACCATTTTTCCTGTCCACAAAGCTTTGGCTTAGCTTTTAACTCAGCCACTACCAAAAATGTATTTTCCTGATCTTCACATTTTGCAACTCCCATTAAAAAAAAAAAAATCCTCTTCTCCCTATCTAAATAAAGTTTGAGTCCCACTTATTTCAGATTCAGAATCAACATAACTTTCTCTGCAAGACTATGTGCTGAGCACTGCATAGTCAACTCATTCCATTATCCAGAGGTTTATCATTTTACAAATGAAGGAACAGGGGCTCCATTAGGTTCAATGACTTTACTGCTTTCAAAGACCTTGCAAGTGGCATCATTGGGGTTTCCAAGTCTGTGCTTTCAGTGGGAACTCCAGGTGAAATATTTCCCCAGCATTGCTTGAATCTGGCTTGATCCTTCTGGAATCTTGCTTAAGATAAATTACATGGTTGGGAGAGGGGTTTCTGCCGCTGGAAACCTCAGCCTGGAATCAAGAAGTCTAAGCAATTTGCAGAAGGATAAAAACAGCTACTGCCCATTACAAACAACCTTCACAGGGGACCTTCTTCCTAGGTTCAAATAACCAGCAATTAACTCCTCCTAGTTTGTAGATTTAGTCCAAAGGTTCACAATTAACATTATGTCAGGTATTATTCCGTTCTTTCATTTCTATTCTCTAATCACTACATTGTTAGTTGAAAGGATCACAGCACACGATTAGTGAGGGAGGACTAAGCCCTCTTTTCCATGCCAGTGCAGGCCAACAGTCAGGCACGTCCACCCTCAGCTGGCCCAGCAGGTACTGGCCACTCTAGATAGATATAAAGCGGGCTAGGAGTCAGGGCTTATAGGGGAAGAAAGACAGGGCATTCTACAGCTGACACTAATACAAAGCAAAATACGATATATGCTGACATGGCAATTACTTATAATAATTTGGTATCATTTCAGAATTTCAGGGTATAACCACTGACAAAACATAAACATTATGTGAAAATCTACCAAAACATAATGTATCTGTCTAAGCAAAGGGGAAAAAAAACCCTCCTTATTGTTCCTTCCAGGAAGCCCGGCACGTTCTGTTTGCCCATTTGCTTGCCTGCTTGCTCCTGTGTTACTCTGCACATCCTATCTTTCCTGCACACAAGAGGCACACCCATTCTTTTCTGCAGAAATCCCTAAGCCAGAAACTTTATCTCTGGTGGCTTTTAAATGCTAAGATGCTTCGCAAAACATTACACTGAAATTCTGACAAAAACTGCACCTATACTTTAGTGAAAATTCCAACTTACTCACCTAAAATATCATACTGAAGATATCAAAAATACCACCAGGACTTGAGAAACAACAACAGGTCTCAGTTCCAGTTTGTGACACATGAGGAAGAACCCCAAGCCCAACTGGGAAAGAAAAGGGGAACATTCCAGGGACGTTTGCAAATTAGTTACTGCCCTCAACTGAACCACAGCTGGTTTATTGATGGAAAGAATAACAAAAGGAGGTCTAAAGTGTTAAAAGGTCAGAGCAATTAAGAATGGATAAGAAATACATTTGGCCCTTACAGTGCAATGATATTGCAGGTGTGAACTCAATTTACCACCCCAAAGACTTAGCATAGGGTTACTCTCCTTTGATCTGCAAAGGAAATGCTTTACACTGTAAGAATAGCTGATCTTTTTACACTGCTTATGGCTTCAGTTCAAGGGGTCCTCAGTAACTTCTGTAAGCCCTAAATTTCCTCATTGGCCTTGTAAAAAACCACCATAAATAGTGTTGGGCATTATTCGTATGTAAACTTTCTTAATATTACTTTTTTAAATGAAAAGCCACAGTAGAAAGTTTTGAAAAAGCCCGGCGAGTTGCAGGACACTGCAGTATCGCTGGTTCAAAAGCAAGTTTGGTGACAAAAGCTCTTCTCTTGCTTTGCCATGTTCTACAATATCTAAATTCTACGTAATGAATTCATTCAGATACAGGTCTTTTGGTCCTTGCAAGTCATGAAGCTTATTAGATTCAGGAAGTCCAGGTCTGTTTGAATTAAAGACTAGATATTTGCATCCAGGCTACTGAGCCACTAAGTGAGAATTCAGGGAAACAAGGATTTTGTTTTCTTCCTCCTTTCCCCACCGGGATGGAGGGATTCTCTAAAAGGCAGCAGTCACGTAGAAATAGGCCTGGACCAGAGAGAACTAGGTCTGAATCATAGTTTGGTGACCCTGTGCATGTCAGCTCCGCCTGTCTTGTTTCCGCTTTGCTGTATGTGAAGTTATAGCCACCAAAAGTGTTTTTTAGATTATGAAAGCAGTGTATGTTCAAGAACTTATTCTTCCAAATATGCCTGATATATGGGAGATACTCAACATTGGCTGAACCCAAGAGATGTGTCTCTGGAAAGATTAGCATGGCTACGTTCAGTGTTAACCTTCCCAGTTACACCTGAATCACACGCATCATCCAATTTTAAACTCTTGTAAAAAGACTTTGAAGAGACTCAGTGTTTTCTGCCAGCAGGATACGAACAAGACATTTGAACTGAACTCTCCTGAAGATGGCAGGCACTCAGGCAACAAAATCTGGCTCGTTTCCTTGACTTCCTTCTAGGTGTGTGTTTAGGATGGTGGTGTAGGAGTGGTACAGACTGTGTCCCTGCTCTGGTCTTAGTCCTCCACAGGACTGTCTTCTCTGGAACATTATCTTCCTTCTGGACCAGCAAAGTGTAAGTCCTGCTCCTGCTCTTTCAAACCCCCAGCGCTCCTTAGCTCTTCCTAGATCCGGTGACAGCAGCTCTGCCTCCTCTCTCCTCTCTAGGAGTGGGGTTCCCGAGCCCCAGAGCTCTAAGTCCTGGACGTGGAGCTCAATGACATCAGAATTGCCTGTGCTGTCTTGCCTCGGCGACCAAGGCTGGCCCCTTCCTCTCGATTCACCCAGGCAGGGCATGCAGGGCGCGTGCAGACCCAGCAGTCTCAGAAGCGCGTTTGCTGCGAGGGTGCCCCCACCACCACCCTCGCCTCTCACCCCCAGCAGAGTCTCCACAGGATTTGGCTAGGGCCTCCTCCTCCGACCAGTCCCGGGGAAGCGGGTAGGGGTGTGAGTATTTGGGGACGGGGACACTTTCTGGGACCGCTTACACAGCGCTCTCCAGCCCATTTTTTTCAGGAAAGAGAGAAAGCCAAGATCATTTGGCTCGGAGGTATTCCCTAATCTGTTGCGCTAACGATCATCCCCATAATACCATTCAATTCATTGTTCCCCAGCGAGGCAGCTCTGCAGAGAGCCTCCGAGAGGTACTCCACAAAAATATCCGGTACCTGCTGCCCGCCCACCTCTCGCCCCGCGCCACCTCCGGGATCCGCACATCCCTCTAGGGGAAGACTTGGCGTTCTCCCAGAGCAGAACCCAGTCAGCGAGTCCGGGACGTTTTCCACCTCCCCTCTCCAGGTGCCCGCACGCAGATGCCGCGCGAGAGGCCAAGAAGCCGGGAGAAGTCCCCCAAAATCTGCGCTCACGCCGGGTCCAGCCTCCTCTACCTCCCTGCGCCTCTCTCCTTCCTTCCAGCTCCAGTCCCGGAGCCTCCAGCGCCTCCTGCACCTCCTGCGCTTTCAGCGCCCAGCATCTCTTCTGCCCACAAAGAGGAAACTTCTTTCTGGGCTAAATTCAGGTCCGACCAGGAAAGGTTTTCCCTTCCTCGCCTCCCTATAACTCCAGCTCTCAGAAACCACAAGGGGCCGGCACCAGGGCTGTGCTTACTACCTACCCCCCGAAAAGAGCTCAGGCTCTTAGTCCTCTCCGACTTTCCATGTCAAAAGGTCTGGTCGGGTCTGAAACCACCACGGAGGCATGCACATTCATGATTTTTCCACAAATCCTACCTGTCCCTCGTGCCTTGCAAGAAACAAGTAAACAAAACGCAAACCCCAGCAACTTTGGGGCGTGAGTGTGTATATGTGCGTAAGAGAAAGCGAGAGGGAGAGAGAGAGCATCGCTCAAGAGTTAGGGCAACAGCTGCAAGAGCACATCTGGAAGAGGGGGAAGGGGGGTTGACGAGAAGGGGACAAGAAACGCGATGTCGAAGGGGAACCCTTCCCCCCTTCCCAGGGCAGCTTCAGGGCCGAGGGCCCGGCCACTCAGTCGTTACCTGTCCTATGTTGATGAAGCCGTACTTGCTGGCGATGCGGTTGGCCTCCGGGAAGCCGCCGGCGATTTTGACTGCCCAGTGGTTGGTGTAGACACGCGTCCGGCACACAGGGAGCAGGCAGCACCCGAGCAGAGCCAGCACGCACAGCAGGTCCAGCCGTCCCGGGCAGAAGCAGCGGCTCCCCCAGCCCATGGCCCCGGCGCTTCGCTACCTCGTCTCCTGCTCGCTCGCTCGCTCGCTCGCTCGCCGCTCGCTCGCTCTCTCCGCGCACTAAGCGGCGCGCGCACAACTAACTTCTCCGGCCTGTGCCTCCCGGGCGCGCAGCCCCCGGCCGCCGCGGCTCTCAGTCCTGGGAGATCGGTGAGTCCCGGCTGGGAGCAAAGCAAGCGAGCCTCGCGCCGGCTCCTAGACCATCCCTTGGGCTGCAGGGACCTGCTCCCAGCACTCTGGCTCACGGGGCGACCGGCCGGGGCTCTTCTACTCGCGCGCAGGGGCGGGCGCCCTCCCGCAGTTGGATCTCGACGAGCTCGGCTCCCGGACTCTTCCACTGGTCCTCACTCCTCCTCCTCCCGGGGCCCCTGTGCGCGGCGGAGGCGGCGGTGCAGGCAGCGGCCGGGCGCCCCCTCTGCTGGCCCGGGCTCCGAGCGCTCGCTAGCTTGCTCCCTGCGCTTCCTCCGGCTCCAAACAGCGCGCGGGGAGAGTGAGCGGCAATGGCAGCAGCGCCTGCTCTGCATAAATGACTCCCCCCGCCCCCTTAACACCCCTCCTTTCCCACATCCACCCCCCCACCCCCGCCCTCCTCTCCCTCCTCTGCCTGCCCGCCCGACAGCGGCCCCAGCCAGGCGGCAACCAGGTCCTAGCGCCGCTGGGTTCTCTAGGCTGTAACCTCCAGGGTCTCTGGCGGTAAAAGCGAGACTTTCCAAGGGGCTAGGAAGAGAGCTTCGGTGTAGGGATCTTGGTTTTACCCCCTTTTCTCTCCTCTCTCCTAAATTTGTATTAATTTACCGCCACTTCCCGAAAGACTAAAGAGATTTACACGCTGGTGCAAGTCAAGTGCCCCGAAGATTCATTCATCCTCTCTCAGAACCTTAAACAACTGGCATTTGAGGTCACTTGCTTTTCAGTTGCCAACAAATAACCCCAGGTTTTCACTTTATTAATTCTCCATGCCTTTTATAACTGTTTATTTTACACATTCTGCTCTCTAGAGAAGCTACCACACAGCACCGTAAGGCTCTAGGCAAAAGCCAACCACGGTGGCTCCAAAGCCAAGTCTGTTGCCTGCTGACTTTCGAAATCTGTGCGTCCGATTCTAGGCAACACCACCGGAGAGTAAAATTCCAGTCACGGAACTGAGGAAAGACGTTTCTATGAATATTTGGTATGAAGTTGGGTGGGGATGCTGGGCCAAGGGAATAACTTCATTCATTCGTTCCATTGAGTCTGATGCGGGCTTCTTTTTCTCCACCAAGGGAAAAGTTTTCTAACTTTTCCAAGCACAGCTCTGAAACAGTGAGAAACTTCAATATAAAAAAAAGACCACAGAGGAAGTTCAGATGAAATATGTGACTATGCCGCCTTCATTACTGTATCATGCACTGTGACTGCAGCCGGCAGGAGGGAGCTAAGAGGGAGCTCAGAGGGAGCTCAGATTTAACCCGCTTCTGCTGAACAACCTACCCGCCTTTTTTGGCACAAGATGATTTCTTGTAAAAAGAAAATCTATGCTTTATGAAGGAAATCAATTGACTTTAAAAGTATTCACTATATCCCTTACTCCTTCACCCCCTATCCCCTCTCTCCTTTTTCAGTCCCCCATTGGCTTTCTTCCTAAGCATTAGTTAAATGCATTTGAGATTAATTAACCCTCACAACTATTGCTTTTGGGATTCTTTTATCTGCCTAGCGCTTTATTCCTGTCCCGCCTCTCCTCAGCTGAACTATATCTGCAAATTCAATATTCATAAATTTAAAGGTCATAAAATGCATAAAGTTATATTCCTAACTCATAAAGTTATCATTTTATGACATTTACACATCATATAAGGTATGCTATGTTATTTAATCTTGAAAACAAACCCACCAAATAACATTATCCCCCAATTACTGATGAAGTGGAAGATCAGAAGAACTAAATCATTTGCAGAAGGGCACATATTTTACTCATTTATTTGACTGACTCAACACATCCCTTTTGAGCACCTAGAAGGTGCCAGAAATTGTGCTGGATACTGGGGAAAGAGGAGGAGTCATAGGGAGAGGAGGCACAAAGGATTAGTGGAATTCAGACTCTCTGAATAGCTAGAGTAAATGTGGTTTATTATTGTTGTTGTTGTTATTTATAGGTGGGAAAGCATAAGCACTATGCTTGGATTTTGGAGTTTTGGCACAGTCTCACTCCTGGCCTGTTCTGGATACATCGCTTCTTCCCACCCCAGCTGGGAGTCCAAAAGTTTACACTTTATTAGATCACAGTTAATTGCCATCCAAACCACCTGCATCTGTCAATAGGGACATTGGAATATTCCTCTAGAAGCTGATGGATTTCACATGGGATGCTAAGAGCTCAGTTGAGATCTACATCTCAATATACATCAGTCCATCCTTCTTTCCATCAGAATTGTGGGCATTTGCTCTCAGGTGGGAGGGAGAGCCTGCCACCACTGTAAGGACTACACAAGCTACTTCGTGCGTCAAATTTGAAGGATGGCCTGGAGGTTTCTCTGGGACTCTGGGGCCATTATTGTTTAGGGCTGCAAAGGCAGCACAAAATGCTTCTCTTTGAAAGCCATGTCGCCTCTGGGCTTCAACTTCTGAACCAGATGAAGAGGAATCACTGCACTAGATCTCCGGAGGCCTAGAGGTTGTTTCCTAAGAGTGGCAAAATTGCTCACTGATATTTTTTCTCCATGGTGTCTCTCTTTTTTTTTCCTTTCCACTAATACTCTTGCCTTCTGTGAGCATGCCCTGCTTGGCACACACACAGAGCATTCACTGCACTGAACATGAGAGAGAATTGGAAAGTAAGGTAGGAAATGAATGGGCAAACCACTTTTCTGCTTTGTAAACCAATCCTTGAGCCAGCATTTAACTTACTCAAAGGGAATATTCTTCCATTTGGATGCTTATGTCTTTAGAAGAGAAAAACCTAGTACTGTTAAAAAAAATTTTTTTTAAAGATTTGGAACCTCATTCATCTGTCAAATCAAACATATGAATATAAGTTTATTCATCTTATTGTCCATCGCTTCTACAATTATCTTCCACTCCAATTATGTATGCATTCTCAAAGAGTATGATTCTTAAACCTAAATAATACCAAAGAATACCTTCTCCAATTGATGCACAAGCACACCCTGCCTCCTGCTTTGGGATCTGCCTTGATGAACTCATTTGCTTTCTTGATTAGAGCCTTGATTACAGTCAATTGGACAGAATGAAGCCATCAGATAAGGATCAATAGGTGCAGCAAAAAACATCTTTCATGACCTTAAGCTCTGCTGGTTATCACAGTCAACTCTATTACCAAGGCCTCAGTAGCCACAGGGACAAGGAACTGATAGAGTAGTAATGGTTAGTGCAAAACCATCTCTGTCTTTGGAATAGAAGCTGATCCAAGTCTTGCACAAATGCTCCCTTTTTGTATGCAAAGAGTAGCACTGCAGGATTTGACCCTGGACTCTCCCTCTGTAATGTGCCATGTGGCAGAAAACCAGGCAGTTTGAAGTTCTACTCTGCCTTATACTTAGCAACACATTACTTGATAATGAGGCCCCACTAGCGTTTGGCCTCTCTGCCAAGGTCCTTCATGGCTCTGAAAGAAAATTTCAGTGAAAGGTAATGAATAGCAATCCAGGCAGTTTAGTAGAAGAAGTGAGCAGGAACTCCACAGGACTCATCTTGAAATTCTGCAAATGGAAATTATTCTGGGAAGAGTTTACCTGCTTTCTTTCTCTGTTACATCCTTTGCTGGAAATTGACCTTTAAGATCTCTTCTAACCTGTGATTCTGTGAATCAATGATAACTTGATAATGGAGTTTGAAGCTGACCAATGAGGAAAACTGCCCCTAGAAATTTTATTGCCCAGTAGGAGTCACCAAATTTATGGGGAGTCCAGTCAGTTTTCCAGTATATCAAGTTTAGAATCAAGAGTAAAAATTTATCAAATTTAATAATGATAATAATAATAAATCATAGTTTATTACTACCATTTACTAAGGACGAGTTATATGCCAGGCATAGATCTAAGGATATTTCAAGTCTTAACTTTCACAGAGCATCAGAGCTGAAAGAGACCTTACATATCATAGCCTCTAACTTCTCTAAGAGGAAAGAAAACAGACCAATAGCGAACTAATTTGGAACGCAATAAGTCTATCATGAAAAAATAAGTTAACAAAATAGATGCATAATATAAATAAAACAAAAGGCTGCATTGACCACAGATTATAGTGCACTATAAAGCTAGGATTAAGAGTAATCTAATCTGCACACCTGGGTTAATAAAATAAATTCAATCTGGAGAACAGAAACTTTATTTAATGTTTCAGATGATTCATGACACATATGAGCCCAGGACAGAGTGAATTCAGGGCTTCATATTACCCTAGTTTTATGGTATTCTATAATGGGACACTAACAGGTGACTAAAATCCTGCAGATTTCAGGAAACTTTATCTTTGTCTTCTACCTGTTTGAAGTTAACTTAGATTAGCATAGTTGACCATCTTCTCTAAACGTTTAAGTCTTGCAGTGACAAAATGGTTCCCAGAAAGCCTTCCAATTGGAATCAAAGTATAAAGGTTGCAGATGACTTCCTTCAGATATATATGAAGGCAGTAACACCAATTGTCTGTTACCTTTTAGCTCCTACCCCCGATCCCAGAGTAGTATCCCTTTCGGGACGGCTATGCTAGATGGATGTGTTGTTTCCCCTCCCCACCTCAGACTCAGGGGAGAGTAGATATGGAAAGGGTGGGAAAAATAAAAGCAATAGTCTTGGGTCTTGGATCTTCACCCACCAAAAGAATAAATCCTATGTCAATGGCAGCAGCCCACCCCCAACCGTCAAGGTTTGCTTTATTTGTAGGGCCTTTGGACCCTTTTCTCGAAAACATTTTATTGGCTCCTTTATTCTCAAATCTCTCAAAGAATCTGGGATTGAATAACTGCTGACTCAACAACTTGATTTTGCTTAGGAAGACCAAGTTAAATGGACCCTAAGAATTAAAAATTTTTTTTT